CCGCCAAATAAATTTGACCCATGTGTTCAATAACTCGGTATTTTCTAACTTTCCAATTTGGTCATGCAGAATCTTTTCATCAAATGCATTTGCTTTGTAAATGAATGTTTTTCATTGGATATTCCAACAATTTTTAACCGGATTTTCGAAGGAAATATCGGTTATTAAAATGGGGATGTACGGCGGGCGGCTGGGCGGGAGGACGGGCGGCTGGGCGGGAGGACGGGCGGCTGCCAAACAGTGTCTCCACAATAACATGAAAACGCTTTAACAATTTTTTTTCAAATTTAAATATGTTGTTTCCTGGGACTCAATGAAGGTCTAGTTCAATTTTCAAGATTTTAGTATTTCTCCTTTTTGAGTTATCGCCATTTTTAATATCCAAAAGTGGATTTTTAAAATATTTTACTCTTGTTATCATGTTATGATTTGTCTTATCTCACAATAAAAATTGGAGTGACAGATTTATTTGAAAATTATCTATTTCCTAAGTGGTAATGATTATAAGCTATATCATTAGACATTTTGAAGATTATTACATTATTAATTATTATTATATATGTAATGTTAGAGTACTATGTTAAACCATAGTTCTGTTCAATTAGATCAGGGAAATATTTTAGCATATGATAATGATTCATTTTCATTATTAATTAGATCTTTGAAATATTTTAGCATATGATAATCATTGGAGTGACAGATTTATTTGAAAATTTTCTGTTTTCTGATAAGATCTGTAGGACTGTATATATAAAGTTCGAAACTTACTAGTAGGACTGTATAAATAAAGTTTGAAATTTACTGTTCATTATTAGACATTTTGTAGATAATTAAGTGTCCCTGAATCATATATATTCTTACCCCTACCCCCTTCAATTTGAGAATTTGAGAATGTGCTTTTATCTTGTAAACGGTCGAGATTCCCACCCCTAAATCATATATATTCTTGTAGGGGACAATAAAACAAATCAAATGAAATATTGGGAATTTCTCAGGTTCACACCTACCCTCCTTTTTTTTGAAAACTTGTAAATGTGCAAGCTCCTCACCCTGAAACCATATATATTCTTGTATGTTACAATAAAACAAATCAAATGAAATAAAAGGTGAGTCCCCTTGGGTCACCACCCCCACCCCGTTCTGTTTGAGAACTTGTAAACGGTCGAGATCCCCACCCCTAAACCATATATATTCTTGTATGGGACAATAACACAAATCAAATGAAATATAGGGGAAGTCCATTGGGGTAACACCCACCCCCTTCTGTTTGAGAAATTGTAAACGGTTGAGATCCCCACCCCTAAACCATATATATTCTTGTATGGGACAATAAAACAAATCAAATGAAATTTATGGGAAGTCCACGAGGGTAAACCCCATCCCCTTCTTTTTGAAAACTTGTAAACGGTTGAGACCCCCACCCCTAAACCATATATAATTCTTTTATGGGACAATAAAAGAAATCAAATGAAATTTAGGGGAAGTCCCCTGGGGTAACCCCCACCCTCTTTTTTTTTTGAAAACTTGTAAACAGTCAAGATCCCCACCCTGAAACCATTTTTCTTCTTGTATATTACAATAAAACAAATCAAATGAAATAAAAGTCGAGTCCCCTGGGGTCTTTTTTGTGATTGAGTTATTTTCCTTTGAACAGAAATTGTTAATTATAAACATAAAGTTTGATTACACTAAGCCTTTATAAATAATTTTCAGCTGTTTATATGTCCTGTAATCAGTTTACTAAACATATGGTTTAATGTCTTATCTTGAGTGACAGATTTATTTGAAAATTTTCTGTTTTCTAAGTGTTGTATTTAGATTTCTGATTTTGGGCCCAGTTTTCAAGTTGGTTCAAATCAGGATGTGTTTGATTTCAACATAAATTGACTATATATAGGGTTCTTTGAAATGTTGAATCTAAACCTGTATTTATTTTCATTATTAGTTAGATAATACAACATCGAGTTACTAAGGGTCCTAAATTAAACTTTTGTTTAATCAACAGTTGAATTCTTGGGTTCTTTGATATGCTGATTTTAACTAAGTTTGAGTGTTAAATCATATCTAATTTAAGAGAACTTAGTCATCACTGGTTGTTGTTATTATGTAATTGATTATAATTTGAAAAATTACATCATATCTAATTTTATATAACTTAGTCATCACTGTATTCATTATAACCATATCTATTTATCAAGTTTGAGTTATTTCCCTTTGTACAGAAAATATATGGATAAAATTAAATTGTGTTTCATTTCAACTTAAATTAAATATATATAGGGTTCTTTCAAATGCTGAATCTAAACCTGTATTTTAATATTGACTTTTTGGGCCCAGTTTTCAAGTTGGTCCAAATCAGGGTCCAAAATTAAACTTTGTTTGATTCACAAAAATTGAATTTATGTGGTTCCTTGAAATGCTGAATCATACCATGTATTGAGAGATTTTGGATTGTGAGCTCCTTTGTCAAATTGGTCCACATTGTTGTCCAAAGGGTCCTATATTAAACTTTTGTTTGATTTCATTAAAAAATGAATTTTTGGAGTTCTTTGATATGCTGATTCTGACAATGTACTTAGATTTTGGATATTGGACCATAATAGGTAAATGTCCAATTTCAAATATTTCATTTCTTTGACCACATTCATTTTGTGTCACAAACCTATGCTGTGTCAAATATTCAACCACAATCCAAATTCAGAGCAGTTTTAAGCTTAAATGAAGTGTCCATACTTGCTCAACTGTTCAGGGTTTGACCTCTGCAGGAAAATCCGGTTTGCTGTCACTCTGACAGCCTCTTGTTCCTATTTATAAGGGGCCTGATGGGGGGGGGGGGGGGGGTCTCATCACGATTCACGAGTTGATTTTTTTGTCAATCACGATTCACAGAAAATAAATTTCCATGAACACGGATCACGAAAATATAAAAAAAAAAATCTGTAGAAAAACGGATCACGATAGCGAAAATACGCCGATCACGATGAACGAAAATAACCCATCAGGCCCCTCATTTATTATATTATATGATAAATTGGAGTTCAAACTTGTGTATCGTTTCTTTTGTTGACTATTATATAAAGAATAGAGAATATTAATGTGTTGTTAAAATATAAAGAACAGATAATAATGGATTGTTAAAATATCTTGAAAGAATAGAGAATAATGGGTTGTTAAACTATAAAGAATAGAGAATAGTGGAGTGCTAATCAAAATATAAAGAATAGAGAATATTGGGTTGCTAAAATATAAAGAATAGAGAATATTGGGTTGCTAAAATATAAAGAATAGAGAATAATGGGGTGCTAAAATATAAAGAATAGAGAATAATGGGGTTCTAAAATATAAAGAATAGAGAATAGTGGAGTGTTAATCAAAATATAAAGAATAGAGAATCATGAAGTGCTAAAATGTAAAGAACTCTTAATTCACACGATGGAAGTATTTTATTGACATCATAATACCTCCATGTTCACACTAAAGGAGAGAAAAATATTGTTATTAAAGGGAACTGTCAGAATTATGCTTATATATGAGTATTATCATCTGTCATATTAATTAATGGGAAACTGCTATCATTTATGGCTACAGTTATGAAATGCAATTTTAATTAGAGTATTGCTACAAATTTTCCATGTTAATGAGTATTGTCTGTTTTCAATATACTGTATAAATATTGTTTGTCAATATAAAACATCCAGAATTAAATGTATACAAAGAGATAGAGACAAAAGGCCGCAGGTATATATCATAAGTCATATATAATTGTAAAGGTATAACGAATCTTTCTCCAATGAAGGAAAACCTCATAATTAGAGTGTAATGTAAAATTTTGTCTGTTTTCAATATTCGGTATAAATATAGATTCTACCACTGCATCGAGTGTGATACGATATTTATCCACTCGAGACAGTTAAATTTTCAAATTTAAAACGCGAGGCTCGCTTAACTGTCGAGAGTGGATAAATATCGTATTACACGAGATTTGGTGGTGGAATCTGTTTCTCTAATGATTTTCTAACAATATGCAGGCAAAGTTATTCCTTCTTTTCGAATGATCTGCAAAAAGATGTGTTCTTTCTATGTGACGTCATCAGACATGGTCGCCTTTTTTCGGCATGCCGTCACAATTGAATAGGAAATTCACTGAGGAAAGCAAGAAAATTCGACGTCATAATCGGATTTTAACCAATGATGAACTGAGATCAAACGAACCACACGTTGATTAAATTTTTTTATACAATGGGTGCAGAAAGGGATAAATTGACGAAGAATTAGAGAAATATTAATAGCGATAACAATGGGACATACAGACGCACAGCGAGAGATACAGGATAGGAGTCATAATTCTAACTGTAAAACAAATCTTCCTCCAGTGAAGGAGAACCTTACAATGCTATGATGGTAATATAAAAATGAAGATATCATGTGATATAATAACCAATGAGACAACTATCCATAATAATCTATAAGCTAAATGAAGTGGATGTAAGAAATTATAGGCCACCATACGGCCTTCAACAATGAAATACCCATGCATACCGTATAGTCGGCTAAAAAAGATCCCGACAAAACAAACGTGACAGACATGAACCAACGGCAACCAATGAACTACAGGCACATTTAGAAGGGGCAAACATATTTGAGAGCGTTCAACCTTCCCCAAACCTGGTACAGGAGTGTAACGTACAGCACGACATGAGAACTTATTGTAAAACTCAGTAGCAATTCAAGGATGAACTCAAGAGATAAGTACGACGCAAAAACAACTGAAAAACACTGTGGTGTATGTGGCAAAGGGTTTAGTCATCTTAGTAATTTACAAATTCACATGAGAACACATACAGGGGATAAACCTTATGACTGTGATTTGTATTGATTAAACGGGAAACAAACCCTTTTTCTTAAGTTGGGCGAGATTGTGTAAAATAGGGCGATTTGGTGTGGGGCGATTTTGCAGTGGGGCGAGTCTTTCTTCTCTCATGATAATGTTGGTTTCTTTCCCTTGACTTATTTTCTATCCCTGCAGGAAAAGTAACATTATGTAAGTTTATCAGTAAACAACGATTTATTAATTTTGTGTTTTAAAAATACAAACACTTTTGTGTATTTAGCCAAACATTTCTTTCCTTGCTGGTGGTGTAAAAATAAACAAAGTATGGTGAAATCTTTGAGATGGTCCCTCTCAGGTAATTTTTGGATTGAAATGAACAATACTGAATAGAACTTAGAAGGATGCTAGAAATCAACACAACTACCATCTTCTGTGACAAGGAAAGAAAATGTTCATCAAAATACATAAGGGTTTAAAACTTTTCAAATTACACAGTCATGACAGTGTTGTCTGTCAATGTCATGTCTGTACTGTGTACTCTGAGAAAAATTCATGGTGTAAACACAGCTAGCCATTCTGTCAAAGCGTATTGCATGATTAACCTTAACGTGAAAACTAAGACATGTAAGAAACCCTCATATTTGCCATTTTGAGACGGTATTTAAATTACATAATTTACAGAATTATATCTCGTTTTCAAACATTTCTTTTGGTACATTTTTATTTGATAGTTCAAAGTGATATTAATCAATCTAGAATCAAATGCCTGAATTCTAATAAAATATATAAATATCAGGCTATTGGAATTATTTTTAATCATGGAATTTGCATAATTTCTTGTGCTTAACCTTTTTAATAAATTCCATGATTATTCTGTATTATCATGATTATAATGCTTTGAGCGTTGCAAAATACTTTCCATACAATGTATTTTGTATAGATAGACTGAGTGTTGTGCGCTGCACAGTACATTGTTTTGAAAAAGAGGGACGAAAGATACCAGAGGGACAGTCAAACTCATAGATCAAAAAACAAACTGACAACGCCATGGCCCAAAATAAAAATACAAACAGACAAATAATACATTTAATAGTACAGATGACACAACATAGAAAACCAAAGACTAAGCAACACGAACCCCACCAAAAACTCGGGTTGATCTCAGGTGCTCCTGAAGGGTAAGCTCCACATGTGGCACTCGTCGTGTTGCTTATGTTATTTCAAATCCGGTAAATAGTCTTAATTCAGTAAGTCATATTCGTGAAAAGGGAGGGTATTGTAGTTACGACATAAGGAACATATCTGATATCATCTGTGAAACGTGCTATCTTCCGATATCATCTGTGAAATGTGCTATCTTTGTTGAGTTTGTAATCACGGTAATAGACAGTGTTGTGCACCGCACAGAATATTAAAATACAGAATAAACATGGAATTTATTAAAAATATCAAGCACAAGAAATTATGCAAATTCTATAATGAATAATAATCCCATGTTGAAATAGTAGCTGGTTAAATGTATCATTGATTTAAGTAAACGTGTTTAAGCCCCATTCATTTGTTGTGCGTTTGTGTAAGCGATTGTAGATGCATACTTTGTAGGACTAAATGTATATAATATAAGCATGATAACAATAATCATGTCATGATAATATACATGATATAAAGTTAGTTTTACTTTATTTTCAACACTAAAAATAAATTATATATATAAGTTAAAATCCTTATAACATGTATAATGATCATGATGATTTAAGAGTATAATGTCAGACATTTATGTTTAGGCAATAGACTTACTGTCTAGGCATTAGCTTATTGCCCAGGATTTAACCTTAATGCCTTATTTCACTTAATGTCGCTAACATATATGTATATATAAAAATCCCGGCATTAGCTTATATTATTGCCCAGGATTTAACCTTAATGCCTTATACATGTTGTATCACTTAATGTCGCTAACATATATATAAAAATCTCAGCATAAGCTTATTGCCCAGGATTTAACCTTAATGCATACAAAATGGGGGACAAACATAAACCGGTTAACTACAGACCAATTTCATTAACTTGTATTTGCTGCAAGTTAATGGAGCACATAGTCACATCACACTTGTACGACCTCCAACATGGCTTTCGACACTCTCGATCTTGCGAAACACAACTTCTCTCCTTCATCCATGAACTTCAAACCACAAACAATTCAAATACACAAACAGATCTTATAATAATGGACTTTGCAAAAGCCTTTGACAAAGTTCCACATCGTCACTTACTCTACAAATTAAATTATTTTGGCATCAATGGAAACGCATTAAACTGGATCTCTGCATTTCTCTCTGACCAAACTCAGACAGTTGTTCTGGAGGGAAGATCATCAAGCACAGTCCCAGTGACCTCTGGGGTTCCACAAGGTACTGTCTTAGGTCCAGTCCTATTCTTGGCCTATAATAATGACCTTCCAGACTACCTTATTCATAGCAAACTAAGATTATTTGCTGATGACAGTATCATATACATGCCAGTTAAATCCTAGGGTGACTGCCTCAAACTGCAAGCTGATCTTGAAGCAGCAGCAAAATGGGAAGCGGACTGGCTGATGGCCTTCCACCCAGGCAAGTGTGCTGTTCTCTCTGTCACAACTAAACGTCAACCTTTGCAACATAACTACATTCTTAACAACCATATCTTAGAAACTGTTACATCTGCTAAGGGAGCTACCATTTGATTTTTATGGGGGGTGGGGGGGGGGGGGGGGCTAGGATAAAATTTGAAAAAAATAGGCAGGACAGGAGTTTTGAGTAAAAAAAAAAGGCAGGATGAGATTATTTGCCAAAAAAATGTCAGGATAAACTAAAAAAAAAAAAGGCAGGACCGAATAGAGTGAAAAATAAAAAGGCAGGACCGAATAGAGGGAAAAATAGCAAAATTTTTCATCCTAGCCCCCCCATAAAAATCAAATGGTAGCTCCCTAAGTACTTAGGCATCACACTACAATCTAACCTCAAATGGGACAAACATATAGATGACAATATCTCTAAAGCCAATAAAACACTCAGCTTTCTTAGAAGAAACCTGAAAACAGCAAAGCAGAACATTAAGACCAGGCATACCAAGCACTTGTCCGTCCCAAACTTGAGTACTCGTGCTCGGGCTGGGACCCACACTTCAGAATCTATCTCGAAGATAGAGATGGTCCAAAGGAGAGCTGTTCAGTATGCTTGCAACAGGTATCATAACACTAGCAGTGTATCAAACATGCTCAATACACTCTACTGGCCACAACTTACACAACGCAGATAATGTGCATGTCTGGTCATGATGTACAAGATCACACATCATCTTGTTGCTATACCATCTAGCACAATTCTCATTCCATCAGACTCAAGAACCAGAAAACATTCACACACCTTCAGAAGTTCAGACATATTTATACATCTAAAGACTCGTGCAGATTTTCATTTTCCCCGTACACAATAACGCAATGGAATCTCCTACCAACTACAGTTGTTAATTCACAGACCATTTGCAGACAGTCGACTCTTTCAGAGAACAGCTCACATATATGCTGTTCTCTCCACCATCATTTAAATAGCTTCATCTCCTGTAGGCTGTACATAGTTTTTAATCACTACATTTGTTCTCTGCATGATCTTTTTGTACATAACTTTATATTAAGTTGTTTTAAATAAATAGGCCACGCATGCACCAGTTATTAATCACCATCTTTATTCAGATGGAAGACTGGAAAACTTAAAGAAAGAAAGAAAGTAATACATATATATTAATAATGAATAGAACAGGATATGGTGAACAAGATCCTGACACAAAATCAAAACATGTACACGCTTTTATCGCTGTTTTTCATCTTGAAAATTACAGTGAGATCTTCAACATGGAGAAATCATTCTAGGCTCAATGTGTAACAAACCATTTATTTTAACAAGACAAGTACATGTAATACATATAAATCCTGTCATAGATTGCCCGACAATTTCACTTATACATAAGTATAAAACCGAGACAAATTTAAAGTGAAACACAGGGTAATTTACAAGAGCATATGTGGTACATATAAAAAGTGAAGGTTTTTATACCCCCAGGGGTTAAGAAATCCACTAACCCGACGCCCGGGACTAAATCATTTACACCTCGGGCAATCAAAACGTGTAACCAAATATGCCCGACGGACTAGTAACAAAAAATTCTTGGCGTTTCCAAAACACAAAGTGGAAAATCCCTACATCTCTATTCTAACTAAGCCAATCAAATTCAAATACGTCATCCGGGTTTCCAAGAATTTGAACTGATTTTGTATGTTTTAAAAATAGAACAAATGACTCTGGGTGGACCGGTATCGTGTATTGATTTCAATTCCTGTACTATCATTATCGATTTCTTCGTACTTAGCGTATTGTAAAATGCTCAAGCCGAGACTTTCAATTAACGGTACTGGGGGTATGATGCATTGATTGATGTGAACTGTTACTTAGTAAGAATGATTAAATTAGCCCTGTACGTACGTCCGTACGTACCTACGTCCCAAAATTGGCCCTGGTCAATATATATGTTCCTGATTAGCCTTTCAGAAATACATGTTAACATAAAATTCTAAATTAATGATCAATTAAAAAAAAAAAAGTTAAATGAAAATTCGTCAGAACCACGTTGTTGAAACTGATACACGCGTGAGCATGTGCGCAGGTCCGAGATTTAATTTTGCATCCGTATTCTTCAAAAATGCGAACATTATCAAAGATACCTTTATCTAAACGTTCATTTCAAGTATTTTCAAGAAGAAGTTATGTGGAAAGAACTACATAAACTGAATAGACAACTTCAACAGCGCACACGGAGTTTTGTGTCCATCTTTGGTCCGTGTTTTACCATTGACAAGTCAACGTCCGGTAAAAGGAAAAATGTTTTTTGAAAAAAGGAAGTACAGTTCTGACAGCGTGATATTGCATTAATAAAGAGTTTAAGGCAGATTTTAGTTCACTAGTTTTTTTTAACATTTCGTATGTGGACTGTCAATTTAACAGATTACGTCAGAACATTAAAATTATATCAAAAGTCTTCTGAAGTTTAGTATCGTTTTAATGTAAATTATTCAGGCCTGAGACTACTATAACACATGTGTTATAGTAGTCTCAGTTCAGGCATTGTGATGATGCCAAAATTTTAACAATGATTGCCTTTGTGACTATGAAAGTCTTACAGGATCGATATTTGAATCAGCAGAAAATATCGAGCTGACTAAAACATTCGTTGGAAGTTCGGGCTATCAGGTTTGATTTTCTGGGCTAGCAGTTCTATCAACAGGACTAGTAAATCATGCTACCAATAAGTCCTGGGCTAGCAGTTCTATCAACAGGACTAGTAAATCCTGCTACCAATAAGTCCTGGGCTAGTGAGCTGTAACAAAAATTTTTAACCCCTGACCCCTCACAAATGAAGTTTTAGGTGGTGGTGGTGGTGGTTGGGGGGGGGGGGGGGTTGTATATAGGATTTACCAAGTGTGTCCTGTCCTGTCTGTCGGTTTGTCCATAGATCTTGTGTGAATTAATTGATTGATTGTTGGTTGCTTAACGTCCAGTGGCAAATATTTCATGCATGTTCAGGACGAGAACAAGTTAATAATAAATACAATAGGTAGGTCTTGTAATAGAGGCCATCCGGGATAATGGTTGGAGAAATTCGGACTGCCACTGGGAAATGAGGGTATATTGGATAGGGACAGAAATTTTGCCTTGCAACAGGTCACCTACAACAAATGTATACGGACCCCTCAAAAAGTTGTTGCAAGGATTTTTAAAGTACAAAGAGCGTGGCAACAAATTTTTGCGGTCGTATATTGGTATCACGTTGTCGTCGTCGTCGTCCGAAGACAGTTGGTTTCCGGACAATAACTTAAGTATAAGTAAATAGAAATCTATAAAATTTAAGCATAAGGTTTATAACCACAAAAGGAAGGTCGGGATGGATTTAAGTGGTTATGGTCCCAACAGTTTAGGAATAAGGGGCCAAAAAAGGGACCCAAATAAGCATTTTTGTAGTTTCCAGACAATAACTTGTGTTTAAGTGTATGAATCTCTCTGAAATTATACCACAAGTTTCCATACCACAAAGGGATGGTTAGGATTGACTTGGGGGGTTATGGCTCAAACCATTTAGGAATTACGGGCAAAAAAGGGTGGAAACAAGGGGTTTCCTGGTTAATGGACAATTAAGACAATTTAAAAGCAGTGTAAGGGAGGTAATCCAAATACATTTAAAGTAAAATGTTGTGTATGATTCGATTACCTCCCTTACATTTCTTGTAAATTATGTATAAAGACATGTTGTATTGTCTTGGGGTGATTAGCTGTCACAACAGCATAGTGTATTGCACAAAAGCAAAAAAATTAATATAAATTCAAATCATATGACCAATACTTAGTTCTTTGACTACAGTATTCTGTGTCAGAAACCTATTATGTGTCAAATATTTAATTATGCCCCAGCCGTAGCGGAAGGGGCATTAAGTTTTACCCTTGTCCGTCTGTACGTACGTCCGTACGTACCTACGTCCCAAAATTGGTTTCCGTTCTCTAATTTTAGTTTGCCTCAACCAAATGTTTTGAAACTTATACACAATGCTTATTATCACAAAACACAGATCAAGTTTGAATTTTGGTGGCGTCACCTTTTATCGTTCTAGAGTTATGCCCCTTTACAAATGGAAAATTGCTGAAATTATCGTTTCCGTTCACTAACTTTAGTTTTGCCTCAACCAAATGTTATGAAACTTATACACAATGCTTATTACCACAAAACACAGATCAAGTTTGAATTTTGGTGGCGTCACTAGTGACTTTTACCGTTCTAGAGTTATGCCCCTTTACAAATGAAAAATTGCTGAATTTTTCGTTTCTGTTCTCTAATTTTAGTTTGCCTCAACCAAATGTTATGAAACTTATACACAATGCTTATTACCACAAAACACAGATCAAGTTTGAATTTTGGTGGCGTCACTTTCACCGTTCTAGAGTTATGCCCCTTTTCAAATGGAAAATTGCTGAATTTATCGTTTCTGTTCACTAACTTTAGTTTGCCTCAACCAAATGTTATGAAACTTATACACAATGCTTATTACCACAAAACACAGATAAAGTTTGAATTTTGGTGGCGTCACTAGTGACTTTAACCGTTCTAGAGTTATGCCCCTTTACAAATGGAAAAATTGCTGAATTTTTCGTTTCTGTTCTCTTATTTTAGTTTGCCTCAACCAAATGTTATGAAACTTATACACATTGCTTATTACTACAAAACACAGATCAAGATTGAATTTTGGTGGCGTCACTTTCACCGTTCTAGAGTTATGCCCCTTTACAAATGGAAAATTGCTGAATTTATCGTTTCCGTTCACTAACTTTAGTTTGCCTAAACCAAATGTTATGAAACTTATACACAATGCTTATTACCACAAAACACAGATCAAGTTTGAATTTTGGTGGCGTCACTAGTGACTTTAACCGTTTAAGAGTTATGTCCCTTTACAAATGGAAAAATTGCTGAACTTTTCGTTTCTGTTCTCTTATTTTAGTTTGCCTCAACCAAATGTAATGAAACTTATACACAATGCTTATTACCACAAAACACAGAGAAAGTTTGAATTTTGGTGGCGTCACTTTCACCGTTCTAGAGTTATGCCCCTTTACAAATGGAAAATTGCTGAATTTATCGTTTCTGTTCACTAACTTTAGTTTGCCTCAACCAAATGTTACGAAACTTTGTACACAATGCTTATTACCACAAAACACAGATCAAGTTTGAATTTTGGTGGCGTCACTTTCACCGTTCTAGAGTAATGCCCCTTTACAAATGGAAAATTGCTGAATTTATCGTTTCTGTTCACTAACTTTAGTTTGCCTCAACCAAATGTTATGAAACTTATACACAATGCTTATTACCACAAAACACAGATCAAGTTTGAATTTTGGTGGCGTCACTTTCACCGTTCTAGAGTTATGCCCCTTTACAAATGGAAAATTGCTGAATTTATCGTTTCTGTTCACTAACTTTAGTCTGCCTCAACCAAATGTTAAAACTTTGTACACAATGCTTATTACCACAAAACACAGATCAAGTTTGAATTTTGGTGGCGTCACTAGTGACTTTAACCGTTCTAGAGTTATGCCCGTTTACAAATGGAAAAATTGCTGAATTTTTCGTTTCTGTTCTCTAATTTTAGTTTGCCTCAATCAAATGTAATGAAACTTATACACAATGCTTATTACCACAAAACACAGATCAAGTTTGAATTTTGGTGGTGTCACTTTAACCGTTCTAGAGTTATCCCCTTTAGAAATGGAAAAATTGCAAAAATTTTATTTTATTCTCAATATCAAGTAATTTTTAAAATTGGAGTTATCTTCCTTTGTCCATGATTATAGTTGAATCAACTACAATCAATGCTTTATACAATGCAATGTTTAATTTTGACTTCCACTGATAAAACACAGATCAAGTTGAATTTGGGTAGTGTCACTTTTACCATTATTGAGTTATGCCCCTTTATAAATCGAAAGATTGCAAAATTTTTAGTTTACATTCTGTAACTTAAGTTTGTCCCAACCAAACTTTATGAAACCTATTCACAATATTCATTACCACAAAACTAAGATCAAGTAAACATTTTTTATATCCGTTTTCTAACTTTAGTTTGCCTCAACCAAATGTTATGAAACTAATACACAATGCTTATTACTACATAATACAGATTAAGTACGTTTGGTGGCGTCACTTTTACCAATTTTGAGTTATGTTCCTTTATAAACATAAATTTTTTGTTTCATTTCTCTAACTTTAGTTTGTCTCAAACAAATGTTATAAAACTTATACACAACCGTTCTAGAGTTATGCATGTTTACAAATAGAAAAATTGCTGAATTTTTCGTTTCTGTTCTCTACTTAAGTTTGCCTCAACCAAATGTTATGAGAATTACACACAATGCTTATTACCACAAAACTCAGATCAAGTTCAAATTTGGGTAGCGTCAATTTTACCGTTCTTCAGTTATGTCCCTTTATAACTATATGATATGCAAGCGGGGGCATCATCTGTGTCCACATGTGGACACTATCCACATTTATTACAATCCAAAGAATATTGTGTCCATTTTTGCCCCAACTGTTCAGAGTTTGACCTCTGCGGTTATATCCAGCTGTGCTCATGATCAGTGAAGCAATTCATTACATCATATATGTCATACATGTCATACTTGCTGAAGATTAAGCCAGAATATTTTTTTTAGCAACCGAATAGGCTAGATTATTTTTTTTTTGTCAAATTAGAGGCCACATTATTTTTTTCAAAAAAAAAACCAGTACATTTCACTAAAACAGTGTACTGTATTACAACATAAATATATATGTTATTAACAAGGAGCCGAGCTAGCAAAAGGTTTTAGTCTTAACTTTTGTTTTGTTTCTTATAGAGTGGCACAAGAACCAAATAATGCAGATAAACCTTATTTAGGATGTATGGGCTAGAGGATTTAGTAAAAATCAATGAGACTCTACAGAGACGCATAGGTGCAGAGGCTGGTAATAAGCCTCATGACTGTCATTTGTGTGGCAAGCAGTTTAAACAGCTTGGTCATTTGCAGAATCACATGAGAACACATACAGGGGATAAACCTTATGACTGTGATGTATGTGGTAAACGGTTTATTCAGCTCAGTAGTTTACAGATTCACATGAGAACACATACAGGGGAAAAACCTTATGACTGTGGTGTATGTGGTAAAGGGTTTAGTCGGCTTGGTAATTTACAGAGACACATAAGTACACATAGTGATAAACCTCATGAATGTGATGTATGTGGTAAAGGGTTTAGTCACCTTGATAATTTACAGAGACACATGAGAACACATTCTGGAGATAAACCTCATGACTGTGATGTGTGTGGTAAAGGGTTTAGTCGCATTGGTAATTTACAGAGACACACGAGAACACATACAGGGGATACACCTTATGACTGTGGTGAATGTGGTAAAGGGTTTAGTCACCTTAGTAATTTACAGAGACACATGAGAACACATACAGGTGATAAACCTCATGACTGTGATGTATGTGGTAAAGTTGTTAGTCAAGGTAGGTTATTGAAGAGACACATGAGAACACATACAGATGATAGAACTCATGACTGTGATGTATGTGGTAAACGGTTTAGACAGCATTATGATTTACGGAGACACATGAGTATACATACAGGCGATAAACCTTATGACTGTGGTTTGTGTGGCAAAGGGTTTAGTCGGCTTAGTAATTTAAAGAGACACATGAGAATACATCATGTACATACTGAGGATAAAACAGATAAAGCTCACAATGAGCATGATGAGATAAATGGAGTTGAGATTCAGTGTGAGTGATATTCACATGGATACACGAGAACACATTCCAGTCAAATCAAGGCAAATATAATTTTTGTGCAAAATAACATATTGGAAGAAACCCATTTTAAGACTTGCAGAGAACACATACTTGTGACAAACATCATAAATATTGCAATGTATTTTGTACATGCTTAAAAGTTTAACAGAAGAAATGCAGTGAAGAGACCGGTCTATGTTATAACGTATATGTTACATGTGTGTATAACGTATATGTTACATGTGTGTATAACGTATATGTTGCATGTGTGTATAACGTATATGTTAAATGTGTGTATAACGTATATATATGTTACATGTGTGTATAACATATATAATAAATTTCGTATATATAACCTAGATAGTTCGAATACTTTATGTGTATTTAATTCGAAATACATGTACATGTATTTACGTAAGTACAATTTGTGTATAGAGATATCTTATTTGATTATGTACTTTAGTATGTTCGCACTTTTTTGTATTTACAGAATTAAAAATAAACGGATATACGCGTATTTGTTAATAGATATAGGAAGATGTGGTATGAGTGCCAATGAGACAACTCTGCATCCAAGTTACAATTTATAAAAGTAAACCATTATAGGTCAAGGTACGGCCTTCAACACGGAGCATTGGCTCACACCGAACAGCAAGCTATAAAATGCCCCAAAAAATTACTAGTGTTAAACCATTCAAACGGAAAAACCAGCGGTCTACTCTATATAAAAACGAGAAACGAGAAACACGTATGAACTACATAAACAGACGACAACTACTGTAATCAGATTCCTGACTTAGGACAGGTGCAAACATTTGTGTATGGATAGACTTCAGATTCCGTTTATCATGTTTATACGGAATTATGACATACAAATTATTTGCATACCGCATACGCAAATACAGATAAAACAGAATTTTAATTGCATGTATATATGCAGAATTCGGACCACGTTATACAGGGAATTATTTAAACAAATTCATGAAATTTTAATCAAAATATTTTCAACAAATTCGGCCGGGTCAGAATATAATTTGCTTTATAAAATACAGAATTTATTCTGAATATTTGATATAATGTGGATCCAATATGGCAAAATCCGACTCGCCACTTAAGGAATTAGGTGGGTGAATCTGCTTCCCATTTCAAACAACCTACGACTTAAAAAAATAATATTAAATTGTCTTAAAAGTGAGACATACTGGTGCGTTTTTTCAACGTCACGGCTCAAGGTAGTATTCTACTCCCCGTATTTTGTGATGCATTAACATACACTTTACTTTTCACAAGATATTTGTAGTAATAGAAGTATCTGTTTTCCTCAATATTTGCATTTTGAAATTGACCATCAACATCACATGCTTTTTTAAGATATTGTCGCCAATTTACTCCTTTTCTTGACTTTACCAATGAATGGTACTGGTAGGCAAAAAAAAGGAGTCCAGGAGAAGGGAACTCATTTGACAAAGACACACGCGGGACAAGTTTAAGACAAAGTGTCTTCATGGTCTTAGATATATATATATTAAAATTTTATTCGGCTTTTAATTAGCTGTCAGTAACGGAGAGTACTCTAAGATCTATACTTTGTATTTTTGTTTTTGTGAGGGATGCAAAAATACCCTGCCACGTCCGGTCTGTATTTGTGTTAGATGTTTTTCTGCTTTGAACCGATCTGATGAGTTAATCCCTTTTGAACTGATTTTTATATAGTTTGTTCTTATGTTGTACTGTTACACAACTGCCCCAGGTTTGGGGAGGAGTAGCGCCTTCAAACATGTTTAACCCCTCCACATTCTTTGTGTGCCTGTGTGTCATCTCTTATGTCTAATCGACCGTTATGTGAAGTGCCGCGTACTGTCTCTGTATTTCCTGGACATGGCATTCATCAAACCGCACGGTGAGTGTCTTGGTAAGAGCTGGAGTTACTCATCTTTTCGGAGCACCAAATTCGTCCTGGTTTTTCTGGGACCTGGGTTTGTATTTGTCTCGTGATTTTCCTCATTTTTGACTGACGCTTCATTGTCATTTTCCGCGACAAATCAAATTAAATAAAACTCAGTTGAGTGATACAAGGGGTTGAAAGTGTTACGACCAAAGAGGGCGGGTAGGGTTATCCAACTCTGTGATGTTTATTTATGTACTTGATAGTGGTGAAACCTCACTCCCTTTGATACGAAAGTAGGATACCGAAGACCTAGTAAGAAATAGCAAATCAAGACAAAAAAAAACAAAAAAAAACAAAACCGGGGAATAGAACAGCACAGAATGGCAATGGACACACAAACGCCAAAAATTAAATACAAATAAAATACCCGGACCCGTAAAAGAAAAAAAAGAGAGGATGTGGATACGGATCGAGTAGTTGCAATAAGCATGCGTATCAAAACTCCAAGGCACTCAGACAAATATATATTCCCGCATGAGAATAATCATGTGATCGATATCTAACCGGACAACCACAAATATTATGACGAACGGAGTTGGTCTTTTTGGAGAAAGTTTACCCATAAACTTATGACAGATGCATTGTCGGAATAATGAGCTGTCGGAATAATGGGATGTCGGAGTAATGGGATATCGGAATAATGGGATGTCGGGATAATGGTTGTCGGACTTACGGGATGTCACCATCTCCTTGGCACATTTAAACGCTATTTGTTGAATAATAATAATTATGATAATAATATTAATATTTTTATTACTATTACTATCTATAGTACATATCGAAGAATTAAGGATGTTCGCTACTCTGTTTCAAAATAACAAGCTTTTTAAAAGACTGTTATAAATGGATAGTATATCAATAAAGGAACTAAAAGATCAGAAAAAAATTAAGGGTCCGTGTGCTTGTTTCCTAGGTATAAGCCATTGAAAATTTTGCGGGAAATATTCCTCTCTAGACTTTTCATACAGTTAACATTGGCACCATTTTTCTTTAAAAAAATATGAAAAAATAACAATGATTTCATAGGATTTTCAAATATGGCTTTTTAAACTATATGTAATTAAATTATAAAAAGAAAAGTAGGGATTAGCGGGGAAATTTTTTAAATAGAACTGCATGGATAAAATCAGAGGATTCCGAATATCTGGCAAAAATTCAAAAACAAGAGGAGCGAACATCCTTAAGCAACACAACTATAGAAGATTTAAGTTTAATAAATCTAGCGTATGTTGAAGTGCATTAACGTAACAATAACGCAATATTAATGCAACCGTAGACACCAATAGTATTGTTACATTCGTAATTTAACCGTTCCTTATCCAACTCCTCATCCCAGCAATTAGTCTCTAATGTAACAATAATTATTTTAGTATTGTTACATTTTAATGTAACCGTAGCCAGTGCCATATAGATATAAAAAGATGTGGTATGAGTGCCAATGAGACAACTCTCCATTTAAGTCACAAATTGGAAAAGAAAAACCATTATAGGTCAATTAAAGTACGGTCTTCAACACGGAGCATTGGCTCACATCGAACAGTAAGTTGTAAAGGGCCCTAAAAATGACTAGTGTAAAACCATTCAAACGGGAAAACCATAGGTCTAATCTAAATAAAAAACGAGAAACGAGCTCTATTTTTAGCTATGTCGGTCATCTTGGTTGGCGAAGTTTGTTTGAATTTTACAAAGTATCTTCTAAGGAGCAGATTTTGTAAAAGTTAACAGATGACGTCGACGACGGACAACGACGGATGCCAATAAAGTGATCAGAAAAGTTCACTTGGCACTACGGACCATTTTTCTCTACCCATGATAGTTTCTGCAGAAATTGGTAAAAATTGCTCTAACTGCATTATTTTTGAAAAAAAAGAGCCGAAAATTTGCTATTTACAGTTTTGCTATATTGTGTCCGTGTTGGCCCTTATCATAACATTTCACGAGGGTTAAGGAAAGTCATTGATAAAATAAAATACTTCGCTGAGCGCAGCTGGATACGACCGCAAAAGTTCAACCCTGAACAGTTTGGGCGAAAATCGACACAATATTCGCGCTTGATACAAGTCTGAATTTGGATTGGAATTAAATATTTAACACATAATAGGTTTCTGACACCGAATAACTGTAGTCAAAGAACTTAGAATTGTCCCCCTTTTTGTTATGGTCATAATCTCAATTCAAATTTCCAATGGAGTTTGCAACCATAATTACCAATTTAAATACATCATAAAAGTCTTAAATAGATAATTTAAAAGCAGTGTGAGGGAGGTAATTCAACATTGTACAACATTGTACAATTTTGTTTTTGGATTACCTCCCTTACACTGCTTTTAAATTGTCCATTAACCAGGAAACCCTTGTTTTTCCCCTTTTTTGTCCCAAATTCCTAAACGGTTTGAGCCATAACCCCCAAAGCCAATCCTAACCATCCCGTTGTGGTATGGAAACTTGTGGTATAATTTCAGAGAGATCCATAGACTTAAACACAAGTTATTGTCTGGAAGTTACAAAAATGCTTATTTTTGGCCCCTTTTTGGTCCCTAATTCCTTAACTGTTGGTACCATAACCCAAAAATCAATCCCAACCTTCCTTTTGTGGTATTGAACATATGGTAAAATTTGATAGAGATCCATTCACTTAAACTAAAGTTATTATGCGAAAACCAACGTGTCATCGGACGACGACGACGACGCCAACGTCATACCAATATACGACCGCAAATTTTTTTGCGGTCGTATAAAAATCCGAGATTGTATGTAAACGTGGACTGCAAAGAACTAAGTCCATTTATCAGAAAAATATTGTAAAATGAAGGGGGAAAATGTTTGGTTCAAACATAAATCTCTTAATCATTAAAAAACACGAAAAAGGTCAAAGTCAGATGTACCCCATCAGACAATTAAATCAACTTTATAGTTGTCTGTACACCAAATACAGTTGACCTATTATTCATATAACTGGGTCACGAAGACTAAATATTGACCACAATTCCACGAAAATTATGTCATGGTTAGACAGGCATGTACACCTTACAATCATTCTATCCATGAAATATAGTTGAGAAATTACTTTATTAATTTATAGTTTGGGAAAAACTTTAACCTAATCCCCAAAACAGAACATTAATCACTGAACCATGACATGATGCCATAAGGGGTAGATTGAGGAGGGGACCAGACCATACCTCCTAAGGGAACAACCATTTGAATTCAAAAGGGAAAAGAGGGATTATGATTTTTTTTCTAAAAAAATATATTGATCCCAAATTTGATGAAAAGAATTAATCTGGTCAAGCAAATGAAAAATACATTTTCCCTATACCTTATAGTGTTAAACATTGGGAAAAAAATTTGATTGATAGCGTTAAAAAAAATTCTGTGTCCGACAAAAAACCATACCGCCTTCTTTTGAAGTTAAATAGTTGTTTCCTTATGGAGCTCTATATTTTAGGAAGTATATATTAAATTATACTTTTTACATGTTCCATTCCCAATGCTGCCTAGTTTGGGGGACAAAATATTTTACCCTGTACTGTAGGGAAAAAACCAAGGAGTCCGAACATC